TAAAAATTATAGCTATTAAAACTAAAAATGACTGAAACTATCAATGAACTTTTATTCAGCTTCTTCACCTCTACTTTTTTATCATCTCAATATTTTTAAAAAACAAAAAAAAGGTTATTACTGTACAAAATTGGTGCTTTTAGATATACTGTTTTGTATTCACTGATATGGTACAATAGTAGAATTGTTAAGATGTAAAAAATCTGTTCCACAAGGTGCACTTACCGAAACGTTGACTAGGATTCTGGCGTTTGTAAGTGAGCAGGAAATATACTGTACAGAGGGCTAACGAAAAAAATAATGCGCATTGTGCAATCTGAAAAAGAAGGGGAAAAAAGCTGTCATTTCCAACAGAGCTTCAAAAAAACTGCAAAAAAAAAAGATTTAATCAGATTTTTACTCAGCTTTCTGTCAAAATTTCCAAGAAAAAGTACTGGACGTTGAACAAATTCATCTTCCTAAAAACTCTGTTCATTGTTTGCATCAAAGATAAGACTTTTGCAGTGCAATTATCTGTTTATTTTCAGAAACCAGTATTGTCATGAAATGTGAAAGAAAAAAGTAAAATGAGGAAATTTGCCGCTTACTTGAGTAATCAAAAACGGTAATATATAAGAAGCTTTCTCATAGTATAGCGCATAGAAAACAGCTGCTGCTGCTGCGGTGTTAATGAAGAGCAGTATCAGATCAAAAGTGAAGTTAACCGAATAGATGCCATAATACATCAGCGATCCATTTAGGACACTTAATGCCAACGCCGATATTGCTACAAACAGTGCAGCTTGCTGAAAATTTGAATTACATCTGATATGCGGTTTGCAATGATCAACTGATTTTCAGAAGACTAAATATTGTTAAGAACAAAAAGATTCTTCAGCATTACAATTACCGAACAGATAACAACGCTGCTAATCTTTAAATTATTCAGACATTTGAATTCCTTCTTTTTTCTTATTCTTAACAGAAAATCTATCAGCGGTTTCTTGTGATGTTATAACAAAAAAGTGGTATTTTTAATTTCATGGTTCATCAATATCTGGTTCTATGTGCACTTTTAGATCAACCTAAAGTACAAAACTTTTAGCATGTTTGACTGATACTGATGACGTCATTCAAATGGCAACTGAGTATTAGCATATAAACCCCAAACCATTAATTTTTTCAACATAAAAGCGAGGAATGTTGATAACAATTTTAAAAATTTAAAGTAATAAATCTAAAATTTGTTTAGGGAGATAATGATATGAAATAAATCTGCAAAAAATATTTTGCTTTACTAATCTGTCATAAGAAGTATCCAAGCTTAAAAATTTCCTGATAAAAGCTGTTTATAAAAAACATAAGTGCTAATTTTTGAGGCTTTTTTATAGAATAAAAAAATTTGCTTTCAAGTGCACTTATTATCAAGCTAAAAAACTGACAATTTTTTTGAATCTTTTTGTCGAGTACTGCTTATAGTTTTTTTGAATTAAGCTTTACTAAGTGCCAAACTAGCGGAATCTGTTTAAAGCGAACATTTCTTCAGCAGTTCATTGAATGAAAAGATCGAGCTGACTGAATTCTATGATGACAGCTGGCTCCTCAGATGCTTCTGCTTTTACCAGTAAATTTATATCTCGCAAAAAACTAGTTTGCAGCTTTATAATTCTGCAGATAACCGAATTGATAAAATCTTGTTTTTTTATCATAGACATTTTTGATAAATGATATTGCTCTTATCCACTCAAGTGGCTCTTTCTACGTTATGCAACTTGGGTGGACAACGCCATCATTGTCACTTAGCAGTTGACACTAAATCTATCATGTCAAATCACCGGGGTAAAAAAGCTGTCTATAAGACACTAGCAAAAATTGTAACGGCAAAATACACTTGAAAAAATGATAAAAAAATAATGTATTAAGCGAGGGAGCAATGACCATCAAGTTAATCAAGAAACCCACCAAACCTTGTTGTACAGTAACATTCTGCTAGATAGATTTGACTTTTTCTGAACCAGCGTTGTTCAACGTTACTAGAAATAATACCCAAAGTTGGAAGACCAATTTTTCAACCAAAGAAATTAATCACCTTTATATGAACACTTCCACCGCAGCATCTGTGTTTTGAATTGTCATCTTCGCCATACATCTCATCAACAAAAACTACCTGACATGTTGTCCCACATAGCCGCATTTCGGTTACTTTCTTCTACAAAACTTTTTTTTAGTTAAACAGGAAAAGACCAGAAAAAACGCATTTAAAACATCGGGAGCAGCAGTATCGATGATTACCTCTTTATTAAACGAATGAAAACATGTTAAAAAAAACGTCTTTATTTGATTTATCTAATATAAATCAAGAAACTATTCAGATAATAGGATACGACAATAATGTACCGTTAAGAGGACAAAAAAGATCAATGCTTTTTCTTCAGCAGATTTTTGATTAACTTCCTTTCTGAAAGAAAGAAAGCTGAACAAAAAAAAAAATCATAATGGTTTAAGTAACATTTAAAGTTGGCCAAAAAAAAGGCGATAATATTCAACTGATATGACTTCTTCGACAGTTACCAATGTTTTACTGTATGATAATGGCCCAGTCAAACCCTTGTAATGGGGTAAATTTTTGATGAATAAAAGACAGTATGTTGAACAGTACACATATATCATAAATATTTTTATAAATAAAAATATTTTGCATAAGTTAAAGCTGAAAAAAATGAACAAATAAGTAAGTGAAGCTAATTGCTGTTTTTTACAAGACGGTTAATGATCTATAGCCCGTTAATTACAGGCAAAAAAAAAAAAGGAAAAATGAACCTTCAGATAACAGAATGTAACTGATTACTGTTGCTGCAAATCACACAACCACCGACCTTAAGCTTATTTTTGAACTGCTGTTGCCATATGACATTCTAATAAATCAAAAATGAAGTAGGAAAAAAAAAAGAAAAAAGAAGAAACGATAATATTTATTGCTTATTAGTGAATACAGCGGCTTAAGACTTGCCGGTAGTTTGTGCTAAGCACGGTATAAGCTGCTATAATTCTATTTATTCTATAAGAACAGTTATTTGAGTATTGAAATAGAACAAAAGAAATTTGCAACATAAAAAAATAATATGAAGCAAAAGGAAAAAGTAAGCAGTAAAATTAGACTACAGTTAAAAAAAAATTTTGAGAAATGAAAGAAAAAAAAACCAAATTAAATATATCAGTGCTATCAAACCGATAAAAAATATATATATGTATCAATGAACTATGCAACTGAATATTTTAGAGCTGTATATGTTCAAAATAAAAAAACAGAAATGTAACAGCAAAAATTATGGTATACATCTGAGATTAAATTTTGGAAAAGTAAAACTATTTCTTATCAGTATTTTTCTTGCTTTTAGCAAACCTTTTTAAAATAGATTATTAAAAAAAATGCATAAACTTTGTTCTTTCTTTTTTTTTTTTTTTTTGTAAGATTTAGTTAGGCTATAAAAAAAAATAAAAGTTCGTTAATAAAGTAGTAAATTTCGAATATAAAAAAACCACTAAAATATTTTTCAACTTTTCATCCTTCTCTACTTTAAATGAACAAATAATACAGAAAGAAAAAGAATCTGGTATTATTCTTCTGAAAATAAAAAACTTTTTTTTGTTTGTTCATCGACAAAATAAATCTTAAAGGAAATTCTACTGAAAAAGCTGTAAAATTTGCGCAAAAACAACACAGAGGTTATCTGTTTTGCAAAGTAATTCATTGACAGAAAATCTGTTGATTAAAACTAAGGTTATTTGGAGAGGAGAGGAAGGCCACGGGAACAGATGGATGTTTTTCAGCATTCTATTCGATCACATCGATTCTATCCATTTATATTTCAAACTGCAATTTTAAATGAAAAAAAAAATTGAATTTAAATCATTATACCGCTTTACTTTTGCTCTTTAAAGTTATCATTGTCTTTCATTCTTAAGCAATATTATACCGCATAAGCAATAACACTAAATATCAGTAAGGTATAGACTAAAGAAGCATCAAAAACCTTCTTCAACAAGGATCAAATAACTGATTGTACAAATAAAACCTTAGTAATGGGATATATTATCTTCGTCATAAGCGCAATAATAATTCAGTTCATTGCATAGCGAAAGCAGAACAAAAATACTGTTCAGATTATTTGGCTATAAAATTTAATTGTTAAATTTTAGGGAAGCAAAAATCCAAAAAAAGTGATAAAAAGCCAACTATTGGAAGGAAATTTGATGAATAATAGACTAAGACATTTTTGGACAGGGCAAAAACGGAACAAATAGAACATTTAAATTAAATAGAGACTCTATAAAACTGCAAGAAAAAAAATATTCTTATAAGTATATTCTCATATTCATATAAAAAAAATACTCATTTTTTTTGACAAAAAAATGATTTTATTAAAAACCCAAGGAAGTTATCATCAATTGTTTAGGTATGTTTAAAACAACAGTTATAGCAGTTATCTGCTCAACTGGTTTAGTTAATAAAGTCAAAAGAAAAGAAAAAAAGTATCAAATTTTTTTTTTTGAAGAACAACAAGAAGACTAAGAATAAGACTAAAGAAAAGTCTAAAGAAATTTAAATATGCACTAAGAATATGTTGTCATAAGATTTTAGTTAAACTGCACTATACAATACGTAAAGATGTGAAATTCAATCTGTATGCCCTCGGAGCAAAACTGTTCGAACAACAACACAGTGCGGTAATGATGGAGAAAACCGCAGTGATCATCAGATGTACCAAGTCGACAAGAAACCACAATTACCTAACATCTATCATTTGGTAATGCTAATTAATGTTGATTTTTTTTTTTTGTAAACTTTTTAAAGATTATTTCAGAGAAATGATTAACAAACACTATAGGCGATCATGTGAAGTTTAATATATAATTTTTCACTTGCATAATTTCACTGATATTTTGTCAGTGGAAAATTCACGATGATCATTAAATGCTTTAACAACTTTCAGTCATTAAATATTTTGTCAAGCAAATAGAGCTGTTACTGTAGAAGTTTAACAAAAAAAAAATTAAAATTTCTACCACCGAGAGAGTTTTTGTTGATTATACTGTCGAAAAAAAAAAAAAATTGTTGATTGATTCTGTTCTACTTAATTTTTCAAAAACTTTTACTTCTTTATTAGTTTTTTTTTTTGATTAAAAACAAAGAAAAGAAAATAAAAACAATTGAAAATGAGGTGTTTTTATGTGTCTAAAAATGTGGCACATTTGTCTTTGTTAAGTTTTTTATTTTTTTTTCACCATCAGTTATTGTCAGTGAAAATTTTGTGAAGCTAAATTGCCGACGTACTGTCGGCCTGTTACGAATACCGAAGAACAAAGCAAAAAAACTATGAGACTATTAGTGTTATAAAATTGAGAAACAGGAAGCTGAAACTAAAATAGTATCAACTAAATAGTTTTATGTATGTATGTGTGTGTGTGTGTTAAGTTTCAGCAATAACAACTGAGAAGAGATTTATTAAGAGCGAAAAAAAAAAGAAAAGGAAAAACGAAACTGCTGTATAAATGTATTTGATAACAAAAAAAAAAAAGAGAAAAATTGGTTTTTGTATTCAATTTAAAAAAAAAAAAAAAAAAAAAAA